TCTGGCAGTAAGTTTTTAAAAGTCAGAAAAACAAAGCCTCCTCCTGCAAACACATTGCATTCATAATATAAGCTGCAAAATAAAAAAAAAAACATATTCCACTCCCCTTTTCTTTTTTGGTGCCCCTTCATTTGCTAGAAGTTTAATATGCTTAATATGGGGAGGAAGAACGGTTTCTATTTGGAAGGTGGTTAAGTATCTTTATTTTTCAAAAAGGGAAACCTTTGAGGATTAATAAAATCTAACAAAGTGGAAGAAAGTGCAAAACTATTCTGAGGTAGCCGCCTATTTCATCTTCTTGTGTTTCTTTTTCATCTGTCTAACTACCACCCTTGTGAGGACATTAAGGATTGTGCTGTTATTGTTAAGAACGGCATATGTCATTGTAAGATCCTGATATCTGCTAAGATAATTTTCCCTTTCAGTTGGGTAGATTTTTGGCAATTTCTTAGCAATAGGGGAATCATATTCCTGGGAAGGGGAGTGATACTAACCAGTTTAGTCTATTGGTTAAGGCACCAGCCTAGAAGTCAAGAGACTGAGAGTTCTAGTCCCATCTTAGACATGAAAGTAGCCCGGTGACTTTGGGTCAGTCACTCTCTCTCTCTCTCTCAGCCCTACCTCACAGGGTTGTTGTGGTGGGGAAAATAGAAGGAAGAAGGGGGATTAGGTATATTCGCCATCTTGAATTATTTCTAAAAATAATAAAGGTGGGATAAAAATCAAATCAAATAAAAATACTGTAAATGAGTTAGGACTGTAACAGGCCCATGACATTTTCCATTTTTATCCTGGGACAGAGGGTAATTCAAAGAAGTTTTTCTTCTGCCTGTACCTGTATAAAGTCTATTTTAGAATGATGCTTTTTTTATGGTACTGTGCTTCCAAATAGTGGGAAGGTGCATTTTTTCCAGCAATTATGGTTAGAGGAAAGCTGGTTATCTATCTTAGAACTTAACTCAATATATTCCAGGAAGCATATCAGAAAGGACCTGACCTTTATGCATAAGAGACATCATGGAGAAAAAAATGTGGTATTTGAAAATGAGAATTTGAACTACAGTTAGCAATATAAGAGTATTTGATCAGATATTACTTTCAAAGAAAATGATTTTTTTTCTTTTCCCCTTCTATACATTAAAATACTGGTCTTTGAAGAGTGGTAAAAGTATTATTATTATTAGTGAAATTCTTAGGAGGCAAAAACCAGAACCAAGACTAAGTCAGGTGTTTAAGAATTAGTTTTTGTAAAGATGTTTTATCGTTCTTTTCTATGTCTAGAAACTGTGGTGGCACAGTGGTTAGAATGCAATATTGCAGGCTAACTCTGCCCACTGCCAGGAGCTCAATCCTGATTGGCTCAAGGTTGACTCAGCCTTCCATCCTTCTGAGGTTGGTAAAATGAGGACCCAGATTGTTAGGGGCAATATGCTTAGAGAGGGCTGTAAAGCACTAGGAAGTGGTATATAAGCCTAAGTGCTATTAGTATTGCTAGACATCTCTAACATTCTCATGTCTTGTTATGTCATATCTGGTATGAAATATCCATGATTCTTTCCCATAGTGAAATCAATCAACTAATCAATCAATGTACCAATTAAGTGGCACTCTGCTGCTCTTTAGGGGCCGCCCGGTTTATTGCCCAAACTATTATAAAGCCACTACTGTGCTGTCTAATGCAGGTGCTATCATCATTAGAATCAATATAAATGATAATATATGAGATTTATTATTAACCATAAGATATATATCCACTTTCAACACACGCACATGCACACACATACACACACACAACACACATATATAATTTCTTATTTCAATGTATACCTATTTTTATACTCTTAAGGCTCTCAAAATAGTTAAAAATATAAAACTAAAAGAAAAAGGGTTAAAATACTTAACTTATTTCCTGAAAGCAAAGAGGCAGCTAAATGCGACTTCTGAGGGGGGTATACCCAATTATTTGAGAGCAAAGTAGTGGAATTCCTATTTTAATATCCAGAATCTATTTCAATAGATTCTACATATTGCACATGGGGTAATATTAGAGAACAGTATCTGCCCAATAAGTTTTGAAAATGTAATATTTGAATAAAGAAATTGACTAGGTAAAAAAATTAAATCCTATGAAAATTCTAATAAGCTATGTTGTAATTGAGACAGCTTACCTATTTAGTATTTAGCTGATGTATTTATTAATATTTAGTCCTCTGTTTATAAGTCCACACAAGACCATTTTAAGGTCTTTTAGCTAAATACTCAATGGTATATTATTGACCACCATGCTTTCTTTTCTGGTTGCTGAAACTTCCTATGTACTTTGAAGCTTATGTTTTATTCTGCTGAAATTCTCCCATTAACAACAAAATAACCAAGACTTTGCTTGAGGCCACACTCCTTCTAAATGGTGTTTTACTTTCTGAGTTTGATGGAAGGCGGGCTGGGCACTTAGTCTTGTTATAATTAGGTTTTCTAAATCTCATTTCCTTTTTAGAGGAGAGAAAACATATTGTTGTGAGTAAGGTCCGGACGTGGTAACGAGTCCCTGGCAGGTTAGTTTGTGCTAGGAAACACATCATTTTAAAGGAAACGTTTACCTTCTCTTCTCATCATGGATTTTATTGCAATTACAGCAATGAGACAGAAACTAATGCCAAAGGTAACACATACACACTCACACACATACACTTTTAATGAGTTAGTTAACACAAAACTCCTGGGGATGAGGAATAAATTCATTTGCTGAACATTTCTGAACCATACCTAATGGGTTATTGAAGGGCAAATGGATATAATGTTAGTTCCAATTTTATTCCACTGCACAGATTGGTAAAGCCAAGTTAAAATAGCCAAGATTGCTGATCAAGATATTGTCAGTTACTGCTAATCTAAAGCAGATGGTACAGGACATGCCACTTGCTAGATTACTTACCTATACAGGAAGCATGGGAGTTTGTTACTATATAAAACCCCTTTACCCTCACAGTCTTAATGTTTGTGGGCATTTCCTTTCAACTCAGCCAACCACAATGATTCATTTCCAAGGAAGGCGACTCATTGAAATCAACAAATACTTAATTTTATTTAAAGACTGCTAGTAAAGTCCAGCCAAATAAAACCAGTCATTCCCAATAGGGTTTAATTACATTTTTAAAAAATGGGAAGTTGCAAATCCCCAAGAGCTCATTCTCTGCTCATCGCATGATCAATGTTTTCTGTGCTCCCCTCCAGAGAGTAGTCTGACGATGGCTCATTTAGCTATGAAAGAAGAAACATGATAGTCCCATCATGCTAAGTTTCAAAATTGTAATCCTTACAAAAATGACACCATATTGTCCAAAGGAATGATGTACGGAATGTAAGATGGAACGCCTCTCATTCTTTCACCTATGAAGATGACATGGAACAAACCTGTTTGCCTCCATTAAGTTCCCAATATTTCTCGTCCATCACAGGTTTTATCCATGCAGACCTTCCTACCCAGAATCTCTATTCTGCAGCTGAATAAAGTGATATATACAATTATATATACCATTCACTAAAACGTTGAGGATTTCTATCTGGCTAAAGAACTTATTTGTAACAAATTCTTTGAAGAATTCATCAGAAGCCACTGAGATGAATAGCAGAATAACGGAGTTGGAAGTGACCTTAGAGGTCTTCTAGTCCAACTCCCTGCTCAAGCAGGAGATACTTTACCATTCCGAACAAATAGCTGTCCAATCACTTCTTAAAAAACTCCAATGATAGAGCACCCACAACTTTTGGAGGGAAGCCGTTCCAGTAATTGTTTTCACTGGCAGGAAATTTCTCCTTAGTCCTAGGTTGAATCTTTCCCCTTGATAAATTTCCACCTGTTATTTTTTGTCAAAGATGTAAAATAGTCGTAGTTGCATCATACAATGGGTGGGAATGGGATTTCCCATTTCCCCCCCCCTGGTCTTTTCTTTAGATGGTTACAATTAAGCATTATTTTAAGGCTTACCACTCAATTATCATATCTTTCCACTTCAAAATAATGGGAAAAACACCATATATTTTCAAGAACCGCACCTCTGAAATATAGTAGTATGATGGAGGAAAGGCTCTAAAGTTATAAAAAAGGGGCAAAAAGATTTAAGATTTTAAAATAGAATGGGACAACAAGCACTATTAAGGAAACATAGAATATATCTAAATAAAACCCTCTGTTTGCTTTTGTGAATGTTCCGAGTTGCACTTCTGATTAATTTCCTGCCAATGATGGAAGATTCTGATTCAGAAGACATTTTTAATTGGCAGAATTAAGAAACAAATGCTTTTCAGCAATTTCATTCTACTTTTTTTCATACCTAGCCATTGTTCCCTTTTGAATTGTCCTAAAAGGATGGAGAGCCTTGGCACCAATATAACAATAATAAGCACAGAGAATTGTTGGAGAATAACCATCCAATTTAGCCCACAGAAATAAATGTATATGTATGTATGTATGTATGTATGTATGTATGTATATATATATATATATATATATATATATATATATATATATATATATAAACAATGAAGGGAGAGATAAATTTCAAGAAACATTTTACTTCAAAGGAAGATACTGTATGCATGAAAAAATTGCATATCCCAGACTTACAGGCTGAACAATGGTACAAGGACCAAAAATTGCAAATCATCTCTTATATTATAAACAGTCAAGAGGCTTCAATAATTGATGGTATAAACAAGTTGAATGAATAAACAAACAAACAAACAAACAAACAACTTTTTTCCACCTATCCATTTTTGTTGGGGGGAAAAGGCATTGTTTCCTTGGCTTATGCCCATATTGCTAGAAACCCAAGAGCCAAACGTACTGTTACCACTCAAACCTTTAAAAATATTTTCCCCAAATTATTACCAAATACATTTTTTTAATGATAGCTACCTTTTATGAGGACTGATCGATTAAAAAAATGCATGTTAGATGAGATAATTTAGAAGAACAAGTCTCATGTGCTGGTCCTACTCACCGATACAATCCATGTTATTAAGCATGTCTATCAATGTCGTTACTAAAGTTTCATCATTCTGCTGATTCAATGCAAAGTGCACAAAGAACCTTTTAACTCTTTCTGGTACAAAGGTGAACAAATATATAGGCATGTACAGAATATAACGGAGCCAGCAGAGCAGGGGAGTCATGACCTTGCCTAGTGGGGATTCTGCCATGCGTTCTATTGTAGGGAAGAGCAGGATGCTGTGGAGAATCTAAAAAAACAGAAAAAAAAAAAGACTGAACAAGGAATGGGACAGAGACAAATTTACATGCAATACAATATGGACTATTGGAATAATTCTTCCTTTTCCACACAGCACAGTTCCTCTAAAATCAGCTGATGTTCTATGAATCTATGAACTCTATCCTTAGAACTTACTGTATCCTTAGTTGGGAGAACACACCACTGAATTCAGTAGGATTTTTATCTTAGTAGAAGTGAACAAAACTAAGCAATCTCTGCCTCCTCACTGGCCAGTAACAAAGGATCTAATTCGGAGTATGCTCCACTCTTGAGGTTCAATGGATCACTGTAAAAATTTAGTTTTTCGTGTCAAGCCGTTCTTTAAAAAGGAATTTGCTATCCTATTCTCCAGAGAAAAATGAAACATATTTGTGTACAAATCATTTCTGTTCTCTTATTAAAATGGAGTGCAACCCTATATATGCATACTCCAATGTAATGTCTAATAATTTTTTTAAAAAAGTTTTACTGTAAAAGTCTGCTAATGTTATGCCTTTTTTTTTGCATCTGTAGAGATTCAGGTGCACCCATTCTGACATGCACAAATATACACACAGTGGTGGCCAAAATTGTGGAAACCTTTTGGGGAAAATGTACAGTAGAAATGCCACCTTTGGTTAAGTTTCAACCAATTTTTCTTCTAATTTCTTTATAACTGTAGCCTTGTTCACTTAAAAATACTATTTTACATCGCTTTCTGGGCAACCAGTCAACTCTTTGCACCATTACTTTAATTTTATTGTGTTTTACAAGCTCACTGAATGAAAGAACGCAAAAACCCCCCAATCAACTTGATAGCGATCACATAACACACTGACAAATGTCCTCCTCTCAGCTTCAATATATGATGACATCAATAACTGAATCCTACTGTGATCTGATTGGCTCATTGCCAAAACAAGATTACACCTGATTGGCTCTCTAAACACTCATGCTCATTGGCTACAATCAGATGAAGGAAAGCTACCTGAAATCAACCTAAGCAAGTTGTGCTTCCTTTTTCTGGTTATTTGGCTATAACATTTCATACAATACAGTACAGATAATTGAACAAACTTTGTTGCATTACATTCTTGATTAAATTATCTTTCCATTGATACATAATTTTATGGTACTACTGCAAAAAAAGAGTGTTATTAGCTATCAAACCTCAAAAATACACTTTTCCCAAAAGGTTTCAACAATTTTGGCCACTACTGTATATCTGCAAAAATATGGACATGTCTATTCTATTGAATAATTTCTTTCCTGTCTCTGACCTAATAACTCAGATCTTGAATTCTGGTCCTTTAATTGCTCATTTACAGAGGAAGCCTGCAAAATGTTTTCTTCTTTTTAAGTAGTATTTTCAATATTCCATTAGTAAAGCCATAAAGTTTCCATTAAGGACTTGTATCTCAAAATGGGAATGTTAGGAAAATTCCTTCTAATTCCCCTGATAGGCAAAAACTTCCAAATTACTAAGAAGGAAACCAAAAATAGTACTACTGCCATTATTGTTTCACTTTCTGGGAGGGGCAAGGCTGTGGGAGGACAACTTCACCTGAGATAATTACTTAAGAGCCAAATTACATAGGTTTCTCTAAGAATGATTGTGAGCAGGATGCTCAACTGATAGCTTGGGTTAGATTTTATGCCTCATAGGTCCACACATTATTTCATAAAAATTAATTAGCTCTTTTTTGTTATATTTATACAATGTTCTAATTATAGACTAATTTAATCTACCTCTTATAAATGTTTTCTCTTGGGATTAAGCCAAAAATTATGGCTGGTATCTAAGGACATGTACCTATGTTCAAATTGTTGTGAAAAGGTAGAAATCAAACTAGGACTGTGGTCTCCAAACAGGTCTGCTAACATTGCGAAAGGATGGGCTAGATCACAATATTGTTGTTCAATAGGGAAATGATGCTCAAAATGTTGTTTTCATTTACAAAATCATGGGCTTTATTACCCAGCCAATGGTTTCTTAGGAAAAATGAGATTTATGCCACAGAGTTACCTACTACGGTATAATCTAGTTTCCTTCCCCATTCTGCAAGGTGATTTTTCTCCCAGTGAATCAGCAATAGGAGATTTTAAATCATAAAGTTTAAGTCAAATGTGAAGAAATCTACTCCACATGTTCTTGGCTTCAACACAATATTTTATGGTGTGCACATATCTTTCATCTCAAGAATTTTAAGACAATTTATGGGACTGATGATGTAAGTTAAAAAAAGAATTCAGACCTTAGTGATAGAGGAATAAATGAAACATATTGGGAAAAGTTGGCAAATTTCATATGTACCTAAAGCTACATGAGATATTGTGGTAATAGTGTTTATATTCATATTTAAGATACGACTTTTATCAGTGTGGAAATCCATGTCCCTTTGTGAACTAAACCTAATCTCAGGACATATTTGTTTGAGAAATATTCATAATTTTAAGACATTACACAGTAACTCATTCTTATCTTGCTTGTCCTCTTAAGGGGAAAGCTGATAGGCAATACCAAGGATAAGTATGTTGAAATATATTTCCAAGTTCTAACATTTTCAAAAAACCTATAGGATAATGGCTGAAGATTTTCTTTGAGAATCCAGACATTATAGAAATTACCTTGCCTAAATTTCTTTATTTTTTCTCAGTTTTGAACTGCCCAACTCCCTCAGAGATTTCACAGTTCCTTGAAATACTGCAATAAAGGACTGATCCTACTTAGCCCAGCCCTGCCTGTATCACCAACTGATGCTGCATTAGTTTGAGATTCCTATCTGCATATCTGTTAGTGATAAAAGTTATACTCATTTGGAATATCATTCAACAGGGAATATGTCAATTTGCACAGAATTAGAATCTATCTGAAAATAAGAATAATCTTGGAACTATTATTATTGTGCAATGAGCAGCTTTGAAGACAATCATTCAGGTGATATATGACCCTGCCATATATAATAATAAAACTTTTTTTTAACAGAAATCTAAGATTAGGGTCAAAAGAATAAATGGCCTCAGGAGTTTCCAATTGTCTAATGGGGAGGAATTTCTGACAGGAATTCAGAATTATGTTTCAAAATTCCTGCTTTTTTGAATATTTCTTGAATATTTCCACCAAAGATAAATGTATAAAGCAAACTGAGCACTTACCTTCCAACAAACTGGAATGGAGGTTGAATGTTTAAACTGAGGTCTTGCAAGAGGAACGTATCATTTACTGAGAACAGTTTATTGTACTTCCTTTATGTTATAATTAATTGACAAATGTGGAACATTTGAGATTCAGAAATTTTAAACTGTTAAATTGCAGGATGCACGCATTATTAAATTTAGTATGCTAATCCTTGCCATTGCCTTAAAATTCACCAAACAAAAGTAAACATTCCCCAAAAATGAATGCCATTTCTGAATTTGCATGCAAGTTTGTTTTAGGCTTTGCGCTCCAACATCTAACTAAATCCTGGCTGATCTCAAAAAATAAACAGAGTTGATTCTCATTAATATTTCAATAGAGTCCATCAGAAAGTATCATGGTTGTAAGTTAAATAGACTAGAAATTGAAAAGGACCCTGAAAGAAGGTGATGACCAATCTCTTCCATAGTGTTGTCAAGAGAACTGCCAGGAAGGGTCCTGAAGTCACTGGGAGCCATATTTGACTTGAATCAAACTTTACCTTTGCTTGTTCAAGACAGGGATTTCAACCACCGCTTTAGAAAGGATGACCCTATTCAAGGACTGTTCTACATCTATTTTGGAAGGGGGAGAGCATTCATCTCACGTATATCAAAGCCTTTGACAGTTTGATCTTTCAGCTTCTTAAATTAATATTTTTATTATATCAATCATACTATCCAGGTTTCAAGGACATTTTAAAAATATTTTTCAGGCCTCGTTCTTGAGGTTGGCAGGAGGCTTTGAGACATTAACAACCAATAGATACGCTGATCCAGTGGTTCGGTTTTCAAGCATCTGCTCTGGTGGGTGAGAGGGAAATGTCCGTAGGCCATGCAAGATCATAGTTTAGGCAAGAAATATTTTTGAAAGGATTTCTTCTATTAGACTAGACTAGACTAGACTAGACTAGAGCTGGAAGGAACCTTGGAGGTCTTCTAGTCCAGCCCTCTGCTCAGCAGGAGGACCTATACCATCTCAGAAAAGTGGCTGTCTAGTCTCTTCTTAAAAATCTCCAGTGATGGAGCACCCACGATTTTTGGAGGCAAGCTGTTCTACTGGTTAATTGTCCTGTTAGGAACTTTCTCCTTAATTCCAGGTTGCTTCTCTCTTTGATCAGTTTCCAACCATTGTTTCTTGTCCTTCCCTCTGGTGCTTTGGAGAATAATTTGACCCCCTCTTCTTTGTGGCAGCCCCTCAAATACTGGAATACTGCTATCATGTCTCCCTTATTTCTTCTTTTTTTAAGACTAGCCAGACCCAAGTCCTGCAGCTGTTCTTTGTATGTTTTAGTTTCCAGACCTTTAATCATCTTAGTTGCTCTTCTCTGATTTTTTTCCCAAACTCTCAGCATCTTTTTTGTGATACGGTGAAAAAATTGTGATATTAGCATAAAGCAAGAGGAGAATTCTATCTGGAGAGCTCTGAAAACCATCTAACATACCGTATACTGTGTTGGTTCTGGGTGAAGGAAAAAGCATTCTATGCAAAAAAATAGCTACTACAGTACTCTTTTTTCTTTTAAGACTTCATACAATTGAAGTAGAGGAATGCAGTACTGATAACATATTACATGGCAGTTTCATGTCATTATATTAAACCAGATTCTTTGAGATTCTGTTCTGTGACACACCATAATACACAGATAGGAGGACTGGCATGGTATGTTTATTGGTGAAAAAATAAATCCAAAATCTATTTAAGGAAAGACAAGAAAATTCTTGTGAAGACTTATCATATTATGTTTTAGTTCAGTGTTTTTCACATATTTGTATTATTGGCTTACTTTTCCAAATATTTGCACTGGATTT